GTGGATAGCGTTGAAGGCGCGCTCTGATTGGCTAGTCAAACTCCGAATATTCTTTGCTAGAATATTTTTTCCCTAGTTGCTCGGAGGAGCAACTAGGGAAAAAATGGCGTGCCGGTTTGCATCCGTGACAAGCGAAGAAATCACTCAAATAACGACGAAGCAGTCCCTGAAAACACAGAAAGCGACTAAATTTGGTTTGGCCGTGTTTAAAGGTAATGGTAACCGGGAGTTTATCGATAAAAACCAATGAAAAAGGTTTTGTTTACAAATGCAAATTAATCTTGCATAACCTCACTTGTTCACTTGAAAATCAAAGTTAAATGGTGTTTTTACAGAATGGTTTCAAATACAGAAAGAGTTTGTAACACCATTTCAAGAAATGTAAAACCAGAGCTAAACAAATGTCCTCAGAAATTTTATCTGTCAGCGAAAAAACGAGACGGCAGGTTTTACAACAAAAACAAAAAATCACTTACCGCGATCCGAGCCGCGTTGGATCGTTACGCGCGGGAAAATGTTGGAATCGTTGCTGGAATGTATGAATTAAAATCAAGTTTTGGTGGTGTACATTATCTCACTGTTTTAGTATATACTAAAACAACTATTTACCTCAGTGTCGGTGGTTAGCGGTGAATATTTACCTCGCCGCTTCGCGGCTCGGTAAATATCCACCACTAACCACCTCCACTTCTGTGAATAGTTGTTAATTATCGGGCTCTTCCATATGCAATGCTATGGGATGACGTTGTCCAGTCGGGAAGCCAAACGTATTTGTCCAGTTTGGTTAGGATAAAGAAAGGAAACACTTGAAATGCGCCAGAGATAGTCAAAGAACTCCCCAGAAACTTCAGAGGTTCAAAGTATATCAGATTTTGTTACCAACGATATGCTAATCAGTTAGGGAAGGGCTAATCCTGTGCATGTTGGCAGATCACTGAGGAGTGAATACGATTAAGGGGGATATTTTTTTTTATATAAAAATTTGTAAGGTAGGATCCTGAAAAAAGCCAAAATATTTGGTAAATGAAAACCGCTAAAGGCGAAGAAAATCTGAGGTTGCTTTTCTCCCGAAGAAAAGTCTAATTCAAGAGATTATTAACTTTTGGTTAAGTCGAATGTGAGGATTTATTTTACAAAAGACAAAGTTATCATAGAAAAACGACGATATTTTAATTTTTCTCATGTAGAAACACACGGATTAAGACAAACGAGTTAGGCTCTTCACAATACATATATACAAATGCTAGGTGCAAGACGGGTAAACTGCAAACGAGTAGTTCAGATATTCGCAGTTGTAACACTCTTAATACTGAGATTATTACGGAATGCTTTGGTTTTGCTTCACTGCGCTGGGTGATTGGGCAAGAAAACTCACTCCTCTCGTTTGATCGGAAGGCTAGCGCGCAAATCACAACAGCCAATCAGAAGAAAGGAAAATGGCAGTTAGAGCCACAGCGCGGAAAACACGGGCGACCAAGTTGTGATTGTTTTTAGTTTTGCATCTGATTGTTTGAGAGAGTAGCGCGAGTTTTTCGCACCAATCAAAGAGCGAAGTATGGGACCACACTTGACATTGAATTCACAACTGAAAATTGCTCTAATCGCTAGATTGATCGAGACTTGGTACTTCACGTTTTCCTGCCCTTCAGGGAGTTGACGCGAATTTAATTTGATCTTTCCCGTGATTAGTTGTGGAGATTAATATGGTTTCAGTTTTACTACAACTGGTAGAAAGCACTTTAATTACTCAACAGAGACTATATCGTCAGGGCATCGAAGGAATAGCCCATTTCGGAATTACCCTTGGCCTCATTTTCAAAACGAGGCCTGGTGCTCAACCATTCTTGTGAAAATGAGTTTAATTTGCATGTGAGTGAAAACTTATTATCATATGAAAGGATGAGCACCAGGACTCGTTTTGAAAATGAGGCCAAGGATAATTCGGAAATTACCCTTGGGAGGTGAATCTGTGAAGTACAGTGGTGCCTTTAAATATCTTGGCGTTATTTTGGACAGCAGCCTTTCGATGAATCAGCATATCGATCATGTAAACTAAGAAGAAAGTTTCTAAGATGTTGGGGATTCTCTCAAGAGCACGGCCATCATTAACAATCGAATCTGCGAATAGACTGTTTAAATCGATGATACTCCCAGTCCTGGATTACTGCAGTGGCTGCAGTGGTGTCTTCCATAGATGTGGCAAAGGAAATGAAGAGGGTTTAGAATGTCTACAACCGCCTACCGGTTAGCTTTAACCACCTACCGGTTAGCTCAATGGATAGAGCGCTGGACTGTTGTGCGGGAGGTCGAGGGTTCTCGCCCCGGCCGGAACAACACTCAAGGTCTTAAAATAACTGAGAAGAATATGCTTCCTTTCTGTAACATCAAGAAATGGTTAGATATTCTAGTCTTCTCGGATAGGGACGAATAAATGGAGGTCCCGTCTCCTGCAGGGTTAGGGGTAGGAGACGTTAATTTCCCACGCACGAGTATACTGTGTGATGGATGTCCTCCCCTGGGGTGGGTTGGGTGGGTGCTTACAGGGCCGTTCTGAAAACCACTTCTGTGAGAACGCACCCTGTCTAAAGATTATTATCTATCTATTTTTACTGGCTCTTAAGTTATCCAGCCTTCTGTGCCTTCACTTGAGAGTCTGGTAGACACAACTGGA